CCTGCTGAGGCATCTCTGCGATTCTGCAGATAGTACAACAGCTGTTCTACTTCTGCAAGTTTGGAGGGGTGAATGAGCTTGCATTCTTCAACCACCTTTCGAGCCAGGGAAGCAATGTCTGTATTTGCATTAAGACTCTTTAGCCGAATGCTGCAACACAGATAGGTCTCTTTTCAGTTTTTAAATTTTTGTATCTTCAGTCCTTTGATTTATGTTTATATAGTTATGAATTTCTTGAAGCAGAAATGATCCTGATACCCCCAATGCCTGTGCCATGGCTTACAAAGGTAATGGCAAAGCAGTGGCTCTCTACAGCTCCAAATGGCAAGTAACTGTCAGACAGATTTGAGAGAGTGTAACTGTCCATCAGCTGACAAGCAGCAACACTAAATGCAGCTGTATGAACAGATCCCTTATAACCATCTTAGACACAGCAGCCAGTAACTTATTTGCAATACCCAAAAAAAGTGCACAGGACCGCAAAGGAATACTGCATACACAAAAAACCCAAAATGAGAAACAGCTATGGGTGTTGACTACACAGGTAGGTTCTTTTGCAGTGCCTGCAGATGCAGTGTCAGGAGTCTCCCATAGCTCTGGTAGACCTGCAGCCAGGTCCACAAGCAATGAGCAGTAAGAAATCTCTGTGGGCATTAACAATAGGATGGATCAAAAAGGAATTCCACCACGTTCCAGATGCAAGTTATGCTGATTCATCGGAAAACAGACGAACATTTCTAATATCTTCAAAAATTTGAGACAATTTAAGGATTCTCTTTTTCTTCCTCAATTATTCTTCTTCTTGCATGCACTCACACAGGTAGCCACTTCAGCTCAAATTTTCAAAAATAATTCAGTACAGAGATAAAACAAACTTAGGAAAGGTCCAAACTTGCAGCTTGGAAACTAAAGTTATGATAGTTCTCTGGGCTTTTCCAGTGGGGAACATTTTAATGCTCTTAAAAGAAAAATACCAGGCAAAACTAAAATGCAGATACCGTATTGAAATCACTAGCAGGGGTGACAGATCAAAACAACAGGAGAGCCAACAGCTAGAGCATAAGGCTGTCAGAAGGTTCAACAGTATTACTTGCTCCAACATTAACCATCATTTGAGTAGGAACCAATCACTTCACTTTTCTCTACCTCAAGTTCCCATCACATAAAATGGGAATAATCACTTTTCTTTACAAAACACCTTGAAGTACATGGATGAAAAGCAGTTTACAACATGTGTTTTAGATGTTAACTTTCCCAGGCATATGTTATTCCCTGGTTTCTAAACCCTCCGCTAATCTAGCACTGAGTTTTATAAAGGTTAGAACATATTATTTCTTACAGTCTGTTGATGCTTTGAGTTATTGAATTTATGACTCTGAAAAACAGAAAAAGCTATCTGAGCTTGCTATGACCTTACATTTTCTGACATTCCTTGCGCTCCCCCAGCATGGGATCTCCCAACTCTCCCAGAATCGTTGCTTCCACTTCATAGTGGACAATGAGGGCTTTCTCCGATGGATGTACATCTATGTTGCCTCCTTTTACCTTCCTGCCATGAAGAAAAAAAAAAAAAGAATTACTGATTAAATGAAAAGCTCAGAAAACATACCAGAACATAGATCAGTAACAATGACCCGTATCCTGTTCTATTCAGACCCTAAACCCAAGCACTGTCCTCCTTCCACACAGCTGTACCAAAGCTTAGTGCTAGTGGCATATTCTTGACTATTACATAGTCAAGTACATACAGAAACACCCAAGCCATTGGTCAAGCCTTAGTCACAGAAGTCAAGTAAGGAAGAAACAGGATGAATCTTTGATTTCTAAGTCTCCCAGCTCTCTTAAGAAACTACAGTGAGGAAAAAGATGCATTTCACAGAGGTGGTGAATTTCCCAGTTGATTCCCTGTTACATTGTCAGTATTGAGAAATCTTCTGCTAACGGCATCTATCTAGTGCAGTCATTTACAAATGGAAATTTTTCCTCAAAGACTCTTGGCTAAATCTTAACAGTTAAAAATCTACCAAGAATGAATTACAAATAATTTGAATTTCAAATTAACTATTCTCTCCTGAAGGACAAATCTCTTTGCTACTGTTCTTCACCTCATTATGTCTGTTGCCAGGCTCAGGGGATTACCACATCAACAGCTGCCATCAACAGGTATAAAATCAAGCATGTCTACCTACTTTACTACAGCTACAGACATTTTGGAAAAGCATTCTCCAGCAAAGCACGCTGGATATGTCACTGCCAAAAGGGCCTGTCCTGCTCTCTCCTCTTTTGTGCCAGCAACTCCATGTCCACACAGAGATACAAGGGCCATGAGGACAGGCCATGAAGATACACCTCATTTCTGTTTTCAAGTGATGGCAGAACCACATCCAGAGAATACAGTTACACATTTCTGTCTCTGGTGGTAAAGCTGACACTTGTCCCTTTTCCCTTTGGTACTGCCAATAGAGTATGTATAGTCATGCCATAAACCAGGCTGCTAAAACACTGCAGATGAAAAACAACTCCCTAATGTGGGCTTGTTTTTTGGTGTGTGGGTGGGCTTTTTGTTTGTTTGTTTTAGGGGTTTGTTCTGGTGTTGGTTTTTTTTAGACAGATCATGTCAATAAACAGATTTCAGGTGACCTCACCAGTAGTTGTATCAGCATAAATGAGCTAGCAGCTAGCTACAGCATTGGGTCAATTAGACCAGAGAAAACTACTTCAGCCTCACAGAGCTGGAAATGTTAGCAAATCCGGATGCAGCCTTCAGTGTAACCACTCTCTCCAGAAAATGTTTGAAATGTGTGCCTCCACCTACCCAGCTGCTATGGTGGCTGCTTTCCCCTCTGCAGAATACAACTGCAAAAAATACCTTTTTCTTGAAATACAGCTGCCCAAAAAACCCCACAAACCACAGAAAGGTCTGCTGTGGGAAATGAAGAGACTAGTTCAACTACCAGCCTTACAAGGACATAAAGCTACAGGGCAAACAAATATAGCTGCTAAAGAGCAACATCTTCCTTGATGAGATTGCAGCAGAACTCCATTTACCACTCAAGATTTTTTTGAAGAGACTTGTGTTTTTTTCCTTTAACAGTACTTTGAAGCAGATGCTTCAGTCTGTTCTCTGTTCTCACGAGGTCCAGCCTTGCAGGGTAGAAAGCTTACAGCAAGTCTATTTCAAAAGAAACCAGCTCTCACTCCTCACCCCCAAATATATTTCCCCCATATTTAGACCTACCAGGAGATCCCAACCGCAAGGGAATAACACTTCCTATCTATGAGCAGGGATAAAGAGGAAGGAGTGAGACCTCCTCCTTTTGGCAGCAGTAAACCACTGATGAGCTTAGCAACCAGCAGAACCTCAGCCTAAGACTGCTTAAACAGTTTTAGCATTTCCCGTATTTAATTTTTTCCTTAAGAGGGACAGATGAGTAAGCTGAAGAACTTACAGCTGCAGATATTTTCTGCCCTCTCACATTGATAACCACCCTCACTACTTGAGCTATTTCCTAGCTAACAGAGTCACAGATCAATTCACATTAAAGTTCCCTCTCTGAAAAATCTTACCTGGTGAACTGCTTGAAGACCTACGCTAAAACGCACTACCCAGCCACTAAAGATGTTTTCCATTTGGAAAACACTGCATTCAGATTGCTAGCATCACAAAAAAAAAAAAAAGAAAAAGAAAATCTTTATTTAAAGACACAATCCCCCCTTGAATCAAACATCTGCTTTACCGATTTTCGACCCATCTTGAGTTTGTAAGTCACATCATAAAACATTTAAAAATACAGACACTCTTATACCTGGTAGAAGCAGCAATGCACTGGGGAGCTTTCACACACATCAGCCCATCCTTGCACTTCACTGCCTGCTTTGTCAACAAGAATCCTGCTCTATTAAAGGTTTAAAAGAGGAAGGTCTTTTCTACAGACAAAAGCTGTGCTAGCTGAGCTCACATAACCAAAGCTGGCGTGTGAATACCCTTTATTAACTAATTCCTTCAGGGGGAAAAAGCAAAACCAAACTATCCTAATTACAAGTGGCATAAATTGTGCACGTGGATAAGGCTGAAAATCCAATAACAAATCCTAGCAAGTCAGACTTGGTGGGAGGGGGACTGCTCATGGAGGATGACAAAGGGAAATAGGGATCAGAGGAGTACCAGACTTGCACACAAGCCTAGTCATGTTAAACAGCAACAGCGGATGTTTTTTGGTTTGTGCTCCCTAAAAAGAGAGAAAACTATGCTTCTTGCAGGGATAACTACAAAATAAAGAAGATTCCTCCAAAATCACAGAAGATGGCACAAACAGAATATGCAAGGCTAAAAATAGCCACTGCTCTAAAGTTACAGCTATTTATTTAATTACAGGTGGCCATTTGATTTTTACCTGTTATCACATTTATATGACAGAACTAATGTTCAAAGATTATCAAGAGGCTTTTTTCCACTGTTTCTGATTATGGGTCTTAATATGTGGCATACGAGGAGAAAGAAAAAAGGCAAAACCCAGACAGCCTAAACAGCAAGTTCTACAAATGCTAATAACTGGAAAGGAAGTAAAAAAAAAAAAAGACCAGGAACTCCACAGGATTCCAGATGTGATGGATAAAATCACCCGCATGGTAGGAGAAAGTGACACTGTTCACTCATCATATCTTAACAGAAACCTAGATGGCCTGACATCTTTTGGGATTGCTAGCACTTTTGCTCTGAAACAACTGATGGAGATCCAATAGTTGCCTACTCAGACCCTATTCTTTAGGCTGACTGGTCTCACTGCCAAACAGACGGATAAAGGCACCATTCATTCATCACATCTTTAACATCAAACCCAGATCACCCACTTTATACACCATGGTTACCTCTCAGGTCCATCCCAACTCCCAAACCATTCCATTCATCCCACCTCATTACCTGTCGTGTCCCCCCCCCCCAACCTGCCATGCCATGATCTAACATCTTCAAACCAGTTCATGTCTCCCAGCTGCATCCTGAACCTGCCCTTACTGCCTAACATCCCCTCCCCGGACCTCAGCCTGCCTATTCCCCAAAGCAGCCACCTGCCTGATCCCAACCCCCAATACCCACATGACCCTCCTCATTCATCTCCTAATAGCATCTATTCTCCTCTCAGCTTGCTGCCACCTCAGTGACTCATCCCAAACACACACCATAAAATGCCACCACAGTCATCCCCAAAACAGTGCATCCCTCCAAACTACCACCTTCCCCCAACCAGTTACCACCAGCATGCTATCCATCCCATCTCTCAGCCTGCCCTAAACCCACTTTATAACCTTCACTCATCCTTAACCCAGCCTCCCAGTCCCCATCCAAATCTCCTGCCCACCAGACTAGGCAGCCACCCCTCAGCCTGTCCCAAATAAATTTATCTCCCATTCCCAAACCACTCACCTCAAAACCTCCCACCCATCTTCCCCACACACACCACAACCCCCAGCCATTTTCCAAACCAGCCACTCCTCAATCCCAATCCCTCAACCCACCTCATGATCTCCCCTCTCAAAACACTCTCCATTCTAATCTCCCCATCCATAACCTCCCATCCATCCCCAAGCCAGCCCCCACTACCACCTGCAACACCTCAGCCCCACACCCCATCACCTCCCCACAAGCCCTTCTTGCTCCCCTAACCCACAACTTCCCACGCAGCACCCACCCACTGAGGCTAAAATGCCTCAGCTCCCTTGTTACCCC